GAAGTTAGGAAGGGAGATGGGTTTAGAGGAAAAGATAATGAGTTCCATGTTGGACACATTTGAGTTTGAGATGACTATTGGACATCCAGTTCACAATATCTGAAAAGCAGTTGAATATGAGAGGTTGGGACAGGATAGATAAATATGAGAATTATCAGCATAGAGATGATAATTAAATCCATAGGAGCTGATGAGATTATCAAGTAGTATAGAGGGAGAAGTGAAGAGGGCTGTGGAACCCTATGGTTAGAGGGCATTATCTGGATCTGGATTTGGATCCAGTAAAGGAGGAGGAGCAGTCAACTAGGCAAGAGGGGAACCAGAATAGTGCGGTATCTCAGAAATTCAGAAAGAAGAGAGTATCCAGGAAGACAGAGTAATCAACAGTGTCAAAGTTTGCAGAGATAAAGGAGAATGAGGATTGAGAAAAGGCCGTTGAATTTGGCAATTAAGAGATCATTAGTAACTTCAGGAAGAGCTGTTTCAGTTGAATAATGTGAGGTGTTAAGAAGAGCTCCAGAGGAAAGAAAGAGGAGACACCTATTTTACATGGTCTTTTCAGGGGGTTTAGAGACAATGGGCAGAAGAGATAGGAGTCCATAGTTATCAAGGATGGAAAGATCAAGTGAAGGTTTGTTGTTAGTTTTTTTTGTTTGTTTTTGGGGTTTTTTTGTAGGTGGCAGAGACATGGGGCATGGGCATCTTTGTAGGCAGTAGAGAGTGAGCCAAAAGAAAGGGAGAGATTGAAAATAAGTAATAGAGTGGGAATGACAAAAGAGGGCACTCTGGAGGAGATGAGATGGAGTAAGATCATTTGAACAAGTAGAAGGGTTAGCCTTGGTAAGGGATAAGGCCATGTTATCATGTGAGACAGGGATGAAGGAGGTTACAGTAGTAGGAAGCATCTGAGTTATAGGAGATGAGGGAAGAAGAGGAAGTTCATGGTGAATAGCTTCATTTTTTTTTCCTGTAAAATATGAGGCAGGATTCTCAACTGAGAGAATAGGGGGAAGGGAGTCATGAGAGATTTAAGGAGGAATGAAAAGGTTTGGAATAGTTGCTATGGAGAGTGGGATAGTGAGTTGATAAAAGAGGTACGGTGGAATTGCCTTGCAGCAGTGAGGGCCCAGTTGAGGTTATATAACATAAATTTGTAGTGGACCAGTCAGAACAGTTTATGTGATTTAGAGAATCAAGTAAAAAATTACTTGAAATAATAGACAAATTTAGCAAAGTTGCAGGATATAAAATAAACCCATACAAATCATTGGCATTTCTATATACTGTTAACAAAGCCCAACAGCACGAGATAGAAAGAGAAATTCCATATAAAGTTACATTATAAAATATTTGGGAGTCGACCTGCCAAAACAAACTCAGTAACTACATGAACACAAATAAAGTCAGATCTAAATAATTGGAAAAATGTCAGTTGCTCATGGGTAGGCTAAGCTAATATGATAAAAATGGCAATTCTACCTAAACTAATTTACTTATTCAGTGCCATACCAATCGAACTACCAAAAAATTATTTTATAGAGCTAGAAAGAACAATAACAATTTATTTGGAAGAACAAAAGGTCCAGGATATCAAGGGAATTAATGAAAAGAAATGCAAGGGAAGGTGGCCTAGCCATTCCAGATCTTGAATTGTATTATAAAGCAGCAATCATCAAAACTGCTTGGTACTGGTTAAGAAATAGAGTAGTGGATCAATGGAATAGGTTATGTATGCAAGACGCAACAGTTAATGACTACAGTAATATACTATTTGATAAAGCCAAAGACTCCAGCTTCTGGGATAAGAAATCACTATTTAACAAAAACTGCTGGGAAAACTAGAGAATAGTATGGCAGAAACTGGGCACAGACCAACATCTTACACCCTATACCTATATAAAGTCAAAATGGGTCCATGATTTAGGTATAAAGACTGATACTGTTAGCAAACTAGGAGAGCAAGGAATAGTTTACCTATCAGAACTATGGAGAAGGGAAGAATTTATGACCAAACAAGAGAGAGAGAACATTATGAAATGCAAAATGGGTAATTTTGATTACATTAAATTGAAAAGTTTTTCCACATACAAAGCCAATGCAACCAAGATTGGGAGGGAAGCAGAAAACTGGGAAAGAATTTTTACAATGTATCTCTGATAAAGGCCTCATTTCTAAAATACATAGAGGACTGAGTCAAATTTATAAGCATACAAGTCATTCCCCAATTGATAAATGGTCGAAGGATATGAACAGGCAGTTTTCAGAGGAAGAAGTTAAAGCTATCTATAGTCATATGAAAAAAATGCTGTAAATCACTATTGATTAGAGAAATGCAAATCAAAATGACTCTGAGGTACCACATCACATCTACCAGATTGGCTAACCTGAAAATGGCTAATAGGAAAATGATAAATGTTGGAGAAGATATGGGAAAATTGAAATATTAGTGCGTTGTTGGTGGAGTTGTGAACTGATCCAACCATTCTGGAGAGCAATTTGGAACTATGCCCAAAGGGCTATAAAATTGTGCATACCCTTTAACCCAGCAATACCACTTCTAGGTCTGTATCCCAAAGAGATCATAAAAATGGGAAAAGGACCCACATGCACAAAAATGTTTATAGCAGCTCTTTTTGTGGTGGCAAAGAATTGGAAATTGAGGGGATTTCAGAATTCATGAACATGGAGTTGGCACATTTGTGGATGATGACAAGATCAAGAATATGACCATGTTTGGGCAGCTAGGAAATACTGTGGATAGAGTTCAGGGCCTGGAGTCAGGAAGACCTGAGTTCAAATATGAACTAGCTGTGTGACCCTGGGCAAGTCATTTAACCTCTGTTTGTCTGTTTCCTCAACTGTAAAATAGGGATAATAACAGCACCTACCCCATAGTACTGTTGTGAGGATAAAGTGAGATGATAATTATAAAGGGCTTAGAACAGTTCCTGGCCCGTAGTAAATGCTGTATAAATGCTAGTTGCTATTATTATGTTTATTATTAGTATTAGTGTATGGCTAATTGGGTCAGGAATAGGTTGAGGAATTGAGTTGTTAGGGTGTTTGAGGTAGAATCAATATGTATCTTGAAGTTCCCTAGTATAAGATTGAGGGGGCTGGGAATAAAATAGTAAATAAGCAGATATAGGATTCAGGCCTAGGTCTTCTGATAGAAAATTCTGTGCTCTTTGCATAATATATGTCACTCTTATCACCTCTGTAATACAGAGAAATTTTTGATTCAAAGATTTATTACCTGGGCTTGCCTGGGCATGCCCAGTTCTATGCACCCTGAAGGGCCTTTGAATCATGTCTAGGCCTCTGTGTGCCCTGTCATGTGAGTGAGTGTAGTCTCCTTTGATTGATTGCTTGTATCTTTAAAACTAGCAAGACTATGCTATTCAAACAGGCAGTTTTCAGAAGAAGAAATCAAAGCTATCTATAGTTATATGAAAAAATGCTCTAAATCACTATTGATTATATATAAATGCAAATTAAAATAACTCTGAGATACCACCTCACACTTATCAGATTGACTAGTATGACAGAAAAAGGAAAATAACAAATGTTGGAGGGGATGTAGAAAAATAGGGACACTAACACACTGTAAGTTGTAAACAGATCCAGCCATTCTGGAGAACAATTTGGAGCTATGCCCAAAGGTCTATAAAACTGTGCATACCCTTTAACCCAGCAATACCACTACTAGGTCTGTATTCCAAAGAGATCAAAGAATAAGGAAAAGGACTTATATGTAAAAAAAAATTTATATGGGGGCAGCTAGGTGGCACAGTGGATAGAGCACCGGCCCTGAAGTCAGGAGGACCTGAGTTCAAATCCGGCATCAGACCAAACACTTGACATGAATTAGCTATGTGACTCTGTGCAAGTTATTTAACCCCCCAATTGCCTTTAAAAAAAAAATTTATAGCAGCTCTTTTTGTGATGGGAAAGAATTGGAAATTGAGGGGATGCCCATCAATAGTTAAACAAGTTGTGGTATATGATTGTGATGGAATACTATGCTCTGCTATGGAATACTAATGCTGTAAGAAATGGTGAGCAGGATGCTTTTAGAAAAACCTGGGAAGACTTACATGAACTGCTGCAAAGTGGAGTGAGCAGAACCAGAAGAACACTCTATGTAGTAACAGCAATATTGTTTGATAATCAACTGTGAATGACTTAGCTATTTTTAGCAATACAATCATCCAAGACAATTCTGAAAGGACTTATAGTGAAAAGTGCCATCCACCTCCAGAGCAAAAACTGATGGTGTATGAATGCAGATAGAAGCATACTTTTTTGGTTATTAATAATCTTTTTATTGCTAAGGAAAATAATAGTTTGCTTTAATGTAAAGAACAAAGATTTTAGTTTCCTTCATCTCACAATTTTCTTTTTAACTCTTAAATATTTGGTGGAGAAATTGGAATGAATCTAATATTTTACAAGTATTATGATGAAATGTGCCATGCAATCTCAACAAATTTTGGATTTCATGTTAATAATGTATTAGATTTATATCATGAGAGAGGAAAACAAAAGCTATTCTAGAGGCATATTTTTTAAACCTTTATTATTCTTGGGTTTTTGTTTTCTTTTACAACAGGGCTAATGTGGAAATGCTTTGCAAGACTCCACATGTATAATATATGTAAAATTGATTGCTTTCTCAATAAGGGTGGAAAGGAAGAAAAGATGAAGAGAATTTGGAACTCAGCATTTTAAAAATGAATGTTAGGGGCAGCTAGGTGGCATAGTGGATAGAGCATCAGCTCTGAAGTCAGGAGGACCTGAGTTCAAATTCGGCCTCAGACCAAACACTTGACACTTACTAGTTGTGTGACCCTGGGCAAGTCCTTCAACCCCAATTGCCTAAAAAAAAATAAAAGAATGTTAAAAATTGTTGTTTACATGTAATTGAAAAAAAATAAAATAAAAATTTAATTAAAAAAAAGACAACTATTCAATCTCTTTTTCTCCCATTCTTTTTTTAGCTATTCTTATCTGCTGAGTTTAGAGTGAAGATCACAGTTTACCCACAGCACAGACACCATGAACTGAACCGGTGAGAGGGAAAGGACTCCTTCCCCGCTCCCTCTTCTATCCTGGCTCAGAGAAATGGGCCTAGAAGTGTTTGTTGATGTTTGTTGCTTGTTTGTCCTCCTCGGTTTCAGGTGTCCAAGGTGGAGTTGGAGCCATGAAGAGCCAAGATGACAGGTGGGATGTGCAGCCAGCCAACCTGGCATAGAAGCCCTGAGAAGCCAGGTGCCAGGGCCTTGAGCTTGAAAGAGATTTTGGACTTAGAATTGGGACTGTACTTTATAGAAACCTATCTACACTATGGACCTAATCCCCTTCCTCCCCAGAAACTGAGGTGTTGCTGGTGGGGTTAGAATTATGCCTCCCACATGATGGGGGAGTAAGTTTGTATATTTGTGATTAAACTTTCTGAAGTAAAAAGCTCTGTGTAAAAGCTAATCTGACTGTTGGTGATTAATGGAATTGGGATAGAGGGGAGCCTCTCCTACAGTTGAGTAGAGGCCAGAGTAATTTGCAGAAAGCCTAGACATTCCTCAATCCCCTTAAGGTAACCAGAGAACCTGGGTAAGGGACAAAATGGTAAAATCGAACCTACCCAGCCTTCTGGAAGTAGGGACCAGGCTAGTTAGTGTTAACAGATTAATGTCCAGGGAATCCCAAATGGCAGAGTAGTAGGAGGTAATGTGGTGAACTCTCCTTCACAAACTTCTCCAAATAGATTCAGAAAATGCACCAGACTGAATCTTTATGGGAAAATCCAGAAAAAGTCACAATGGGTCATTTATCCAGCTCAACCCAGCCTGAGGAGACAGGGAGGTCTGTGGACACTGAGGGAATGAGTTGGCTCAGAAACACCCTTGAGTGGAGTGTTCCAGTGCCCAGGAGAGATTGTGCACCAGGGTAAGAGGAGGTCCCAGACCCATAATTGGTCACTGCGGCGGGGGAAGGTGAGAACTGGCAGCTTTGTCACCCACTACCTGATGGCCTGAGAAGAGGACCTGCTCAGCTGAGTAAGTGTTCTTGAGCATACAGGCCCTAGGCTGTGTGTATGGAGAAAGAAGGAGGTTCGGAGGTAACAGCAACAGAGTGGCTCAGACCCCAGGCTTTGTGTCTGGCATCTCACTTCCAGTATCTAGCCCAGCCTACAGAGGAATAACCAAGGTAGGAATCCCCGACTAAAGAGCCTATAATTCTGCCACTCAGAACCAAATCTTCCCAGCTGACTAATAGGGGTGGAGTACAGCAGCTACCCAGGTTAGGACCTTGAAGAGCTCAGACTGGGGCCAGCAATGAGACTTTGCCCTGGATCAGACCCCTAGGTCCCCAGCCTGTCCCTGAGATCCTGGAATGACACAACACTCAATACCCCAAGCAATAGGACCAATCCAGATCTTCCCTCCAGAAGTTTGGCAAAGCCCAACCCTAACATCAAGTCCAAAATTGGGAAGTCGATTGGAAGAGTGGGCAAACAAAGAAATGTGGTTTTCCCCACTGTCAACGAGCCGTTGTGATGGCAGGGATGCTCAGGACACAAACACAGAAGAAGAGATTGGCTCCCCCCAAAATATCTGTAAGCAATGTTTTGGAGAAAAATATAGCTTGGGCACAAACTCAACTAGAATTCCTGGAAGAGATGAAACATGAGTTATTTTTAAAAAAAGTTAAAAATGTTTCCATAAATGGAATGAAAGAGTTTGAGGGAAAAAATCAGAAAAGAGATGGGAGACTCTCCGCTTTTCTCCCAAGCTAGGTGCCAGGATCTGCTGCTGCTGCTGCTGCTACAGCTATGCCCCTGAGATGAGATGATAAAGGTTGGAGTCAATGGATTTGGCACCTGGTGGACATTGTGGCTATCAATGACCCCTTCACTGACCTCAACTACATGGTTCATATGTTCCAGCATGATTCTGCCTGTGGCAAGTTCAAAGGCACCGTCAAGCAAACCTGAGAATGAAAAGCTGGTGATCAATGGAAAAGCCATTATTATCTTCCAGGAAAATGATACTAACAGTATTAAATGAGGAGGTGCTGGAGCCAAGTATGTAGTAGGGTTCACTGGTATCTTTACCACCACAAAAAAGGCTGGGGCTCACTTAAGGGATGGAGTTAAGTGGGTTACTATCTCTGTACCTTCTGCTGCTACCCCTATGTTTGTGAGGGAAGTGAAGCATGAGAAACATAATTCCTTTAAGAGTGTCAGTAGTACCTCCTGTATTACCAACTGCTTTTCTCTCCCTGGCCATAGTCATTCATGACACTTTTGGCATTGTGGAAAGACTCATGACCACAGTCCATTCCATTACTGCTACCCAGAAGACTGTAGATGGCCCCTCTGGCAAGTTGTGGCATGATGGGTACTGCCCAAAACATCATCCCTCTTTCACTGGTGCTACTAAAGCTGTAGGCAAGGCTATCCCTGAACTGAAAGGGAAGCTCACAGGCATGCCCTTCTGTGTTCCTACTCCCAATATATCTGTTGTGGATCTGACCTGCCACCTGGAGAAGCCTACCAAACATAATAATATAAAAAAATGGTGAAGCAAAGTATCAAAGGGAACCTTGAAGGGCATCTTGAACTGCATAGCAGACCAGGTAGTATCCTGTGACTTTAACAGTGATACCCACTCTTCTACCTTTGATGTTGGTGCTGGTATTGCCTTCAGTGATGATTTTGTCAATCTCATTTACTGGTATGACAATGAGTATGGTTATAGCAACTGTGTAATAGATTTCATGGTTTACGTGGCCTCCAGTGAATAACGGGGAAAGTCATACATCTTCATCATCAGTCAAGAGAGGAATTCCATCACTGGGGAGCCCAGATCTTTAACTTGTTTTCCTATGCTGGAGATTTCATGCCCTATTCACAAGCAAGCCCCAAGACACCCCTGTAGCAGGGGAGAGAAGTATAGAGTTTTATGCTGTTTACCATCAATAAAGTCACCATATTAGTGAAAAAAAAAAGAAAAAAGAAAAGAAAAGAAACAAGAGCTATGGAAGAAAGAATTGGAAAAGGAACTAATAGCCTGGCACAAGAGGTGCAAAACCTTACCCAAGCAACAAACTCCCTGAAAATTGGATGGACCAAATAGAAACCAGTGATTCCATGAGACAACAAGAAATATTAGAGCAAAGTTAAAAGGCTGAAAAAAAAGAAAATGGAAAGTATCTCATAGTAAAAACAACAGGCCTGGCAAACAGATCAAGGAGAATAAATTTAAGAATTATTGGACTTCACCAAAAGAAAAGAGCCAAGACATCACATTTCAAGAAATCTTTAGGAAAACTTCCCTGATCTCTTAGGACCAGAGGACAAAGTGGAAACAGGTAGAATCCGCTGGTCACCTCCTGAAAGAAATCTCAAAATAAAAACTCTTAGGAATATAGCCCATGTCCAAAGCTTCCAACTCAAAAGAAAATACTCCAAGTAGCCAGAAAGAAATAATTCAAATACCCAGGAACCACAGTCAGGATCACACACAATTCAGCAGTCATCATAGTAAAGAAGCAGAGAATGTGTAATATGATATTCCAGAAGGCAAAAAGGCATGGGCTTACAGTCAACAATAACCCAGCAAAACTGAGTGTAATGCTACAGGAGAAAAAAAATAGACCTTTAATGAAACAGAGGACTTCCAAGCATTCTTGATGAAAAGACCAGAGCTGTGGAGAAATTTTGAAGTTCAAACACAAGTACAAAGAGAAACATAAAAGAGTAAGCATAAATTAGCAATGATAAAGGACTAAACAAGGATAAACTGCTTACATTCTAATATGGGGAGATGATACATGTGTCCCCTCTGAATCCTGTCATCATCAGCATTCATAAAAGGGAGTCTAACAAAGCTTGGGAGTTCTGTTATGTCTTGATGATCTTGAGAAAAGAATGGAAAGAGAGGGGAAAAGAAACACACCAGGTTGGGGGGAAAAAAAGGAAGATAATCATCTCATATAATCAGGGTGCACAAGTAGACATCTATAGAAATTGAGGAGGGGCTGGGAAGAGTGTCCTGACACTTGAACCTCACTCTCATATGTACTGGTCAAAAGAAGAAAAAATACACACACACACACACACACACACACAGAATCAGGTACAGAAATACATTTCACTCAACAGGAAAACAGAAAAGAAAGTGGAGAAGGGGGGAAAGGGAATTAGAAAGGAGATGAAGGAAGGGATTAATTCTAAGCAAAACAAACTCTAAGAATGTACAAAAATATTTATACTTTTTGAGACAGAAAAGAATGGGAATCTGAGGGGGTGCTCATAAATTGGGGAATGGATGAATGTTATGTATCTAAATATAATGGAATACTGTTATGCTAAACTCTTTGCAGTGTAATGACCCACCAGGATTCCAGAGGACTAATGATCAAACATGGTACCCACCTTCTTATAGAAAGGTGAAGAACTCAGAATGCAGAATGAGGGAAATATTTATTGGACATGGCCAGTGTGGAAATTGGTTTTGATTGACTATTAAAAAAAAAAAGACTAGGGGCAGCTAGGCGGTGCAGTTGATAGAGCACTGGCCCTGAAGTCAGGAGGACCTGAGTTCAAATCTGACCTCACTTGACACTTGACACTTACTAGCTGTGTGACCCTGGGCAAGTCACTTAACCCCAATTGCCTAAAAAAATAAATAAAATAAACTTTCTTTAAAAAAAAAAAAGACTAATGTCCCCTTTTAGCTTAAGTATTTCTCTTTCCCTCTCTTTATTTCAAAGATTAAAAGAAGAAGAAGAAGAAGAAGAATTGGAAGTCTTTGCTGTTTCCCTGTCTCCTAATCGTGGCCTCTTTTCCATTGCTCTCCCCTCTCCTCAGGAATAATATTTTTTTTCTATTTATTTATTTAGTTTTAGTTTTCAACATTTACTTCCATAAGATTTTGAGTTCCAAATTTTCTCCCCATCCCTCCCCTCCCCCCACCCCATGATGGCCTGTATTCTGATTCCCCCTTCACCCAATCTGTTCTCCCTTCTATAACCACCCCCCCTTCTCTTACCCCCTTCCCCTTCTATTTTGCTGTAGGGCAAGATAAATTTCTATACCCCTTTGCCTGTGTACCTTATTTCTCAGTTGCATGCAGAAACAATTTCTAACATTCATTCTAAAACTTTGAGTTCCAAATTCTCTCCCCTCCTCCCTCCCCACCCACCCTCATTGAAAGGGCAAGCAATTTGACATAGGCTATACATGTGCAGTCATGCAAAACACTTCTATAGTGGTCATGTTGTGAAAGACTAACTATATTTCCCTCCATTCTATCCCAGCCCCCATTTATTCTATTCTCTCCTTTGAGCTGTCCCTCCTCAAAAGTGTTTGCTTTTGGTTACCCCTTCCCCCAATCTGCCCTCCCTTCTATCACCCCTTCCTCTTTTATCCCCTTTCCCCCTACTTTCTTGTAGGGTGAAATAGATTTCCATACCCAATT